TTAATAAAATACACATTTTTTCCTACTTGTGTAGGACACACCAAATATACAGGCATGAATAAGCATTATATAAATTTCATAAATTTGGTTTATGGTTAAGTTACATGGTTGCTGACGTTTTTGTCTTAGGTCTGTGGGAACAATATGTTAACCAGTCATTCAATGGAGCACATCATGAAATATAGGAATATTAACTTCGCATTAACAAAAAAACCCAAGTAAGTTTTGGATAGATTAAAAATACTTGGGAAAAAATAAAGCTTGAAGTTATTCAACAATATAACTTGGGTGTGTACAAATCCGAATCTTATTTTGGATTTGATTTATATCCAAATTGGGTAATAAGGAAGCTATTTTTACAGATACGATCAGTTATGTTATAAGCTACAATCGTGACGTTGTATTACAAATAGATACTTTTCCATTGGTATAAGAGTATATTCCACAAATGTAAACCAGGTTGCGTCGTGGAGAAGGTTAATTCGTTATTAACCAGGCAACTGAAAGATACGGGACCAATAATGTTTGCAGATCATTTGTCATTGTAAATGGTCAAATATCCACTAATAGGGTGTACTTAGAAGGTTGGCAGCTCTTAACAAGGAGTGCTGAACCGATTTTATGGCTCTTTGTCAGGTATGTTGTACACTATGGCGTTCTGTTTAGAAGCAAGTCTCTCAAAAACTTCGCTCGACAAATAGCCCATAACGTTTTCTAGCTCCTTAGCATGTTCCAATTCAGCATCGGTTGGTTTAGTCCTGAGCTTAGAGAGTTTTAGGAAAGTGAGATCCCCCAGTTCCTTTTTGAGATGGAGGATTGTTTCTGGTACCAGGTCAAGTTGATTTAGTTTCGTCCTGAGTTCATTTATTTGTAGTTGCATGTCATTTATGATGCAGACTAAGTTAGTAATCTCTGCCTTTTGTGACAGGATATCTTCCACCTGAATTACAGGGGTTAGCATTATGTTGGAACCGTTTATATTGGGTGAACTACTAACTGCAGCTGATTTAAGGGGTGATAATGCGTTACTCGATAAGCTTAAGCTATTTTCTAAATTACTAGTGTTTCTAAGAACATGATTTTATAGCTTTTGCCCATTATTATTGGTGATAATATAGCAGAACAGAAAAATGAATATCAGCGAAAACACGTGCAAACGTTTCACCAGATTCGAACGTACCGCGTTGTTGGGTGGAGAAGACATCGTTGAGCACGTCAACGAAACTGTATTGGTTAAGAATAGATATAACCGTGGTCGTCAGCCAGCCAACAATATTTGGGTGATTTGTTGCGTGTGTTATTTGACTAAATCAGAGTACACGTATTTCCTAGTACTTCTCCACTTTTATTAATGTCCGTAGACGTTGTGGCTACTCGACGCCTACAACGTAAAATCAAAAGGCACTTGCGAAGAGTACGATCGTGTATTATAGCGGTAGTCAAAATTCAAAATTGTGTCAAGGTAATGTTCAACAGTAAATTGACAAATGTTTACGAAGTACATATAAAATCGGTCTGTGTACACACATAATACAAGTATACAAATTAGATTAAAAAGCATATGTACAGTTGGTGTAGGGGTACTACAAATTGGTTGATACGACACCTCTCTACGGAAAGGATAGCAGCCAGAAAAGCAACTACTTTAATGCCTATTTTTACCAGACTTGAAAAGTAGGATAAGGGCTATATATGGATCTTAAAGGGATCTCATTTATAGTCATTTGGATGAATATATGTACAGAGTGTGGTGTTGTAACGACAAAAGACAGGATTCAGTCAACAGATCGTTTATTAAGGAAATCAACACGTATTTATATATACTTCATGTACATTATTATAGCTTATTCAGCCAGACAAACACAGTCTTCTGATTGGTTGTTTCTTACAGAAAGTTGACTTTGCATCTCTTTGTGACTGTTTCTTGAATGTCAGGTAATCTATACGCCAAGTCTGCTGTGATTGGTTGTTAAATTAGTCTTGTTCATATTTTTTCACGACCAATATTTGAGACGTACCCACTGACGTAAAATGCTGTCTACCATTTTTGGCTAGCCTGCTCTCACCACAGTGTAACTTCTCTGTTGACATTCATATGCTTAACTGGGAGATGTTTCTCTCACATATTAGAGAAAGATACCATTTGTAACAGTTTTATGCTTTCTCTCATGCTTTTTCTCCGTAAATATACGTCTCTTTTTATCATAAATCCCTCTTTCATGTGATTAGTCTGTTCAAGGTCCAATATCCAATATCGTTTTTACGAGCTATTAGAAACCAATTTGATTTCTTGGTCCTCACCTCTTGATTGTAAGGTATAGGAAAGCTTCTGAGTGGCTCGTCCCGCCACTCGACTGTCGTAGCTTTGGTTGACTCCAAAAGGAATAGTGCTGGGATTAATTATACGTGGTTTGTATTATGAGGTGTGTTAGGACTGTTACTACTGTGAATGGAATTGATCCTTTCACCAGTTAGTCCTCTGGTATCGTCGTCAAAAGAAAAGAGATAATAATAGGTTTAATTAGTGAAGTTATCCAAACTAGCGGACAGAAAAAGAAATAAGAAAACGTAACAACAGCCAGCTGACTAAATTTGAAGATAATATGAATAATATGTATCGGTAATAATGATGATAATAATAATAAGTGTAGTTAAAGTTGTCAGGAGAATAAGATGGAAGAGAATGTAGAGAAGTAAAACGACTGTGCGTCGGTGGCACAGTGGTTGGGACTCCCGCCGACCATGCATATGGTCCGGGGTTCGAGCCCTCGCCGATGCACACCTGATATTTATGGTCGGCCTGCGAATTCTGGGCTACCGATATCCACGCTGAAAATTCCATACATGTACCAAAAATACGGTGTGGAATCAAGCTGTAATCAAAAAAATAAAATAAAAGACAAGGGGGTAGGCCACTTGGATGCAGTCCTTGTGTCGCTGCATGGTTGTCCAGCCTTCTCTCAGAGGCCTCCATAGACGGTGCCATAGCCACATCTGCCGGTAAGGAATTCTAGGAACGGCAAACCCGGAGTGAAAAGAGAAGGGAGCGCACCCGGGTCCCTGCCCTTTGGTGAACTATCCTTCTGGGATTACCACGAGGGAGCCTATACCTACTCAATGGCAGAACACCTTTGTTTGGGTGATTCTGGTCATTTGTTATTTTGTAGGCAGTAATCAAATTCCCCCTGAGCCGACGGTAACTAAGTGTGAACAGGCCTAATTTCTTCAGCCTTTCATCATATGGTTTATTTCAAGGACCAACCACTCCTTTTGTTGCCCGTGGTTGGACTCTTTCCTAGAGGTTGGCGTCTCTTCGAAGCATTGGGGGTGCAGTAATATTATGCACCTCAAGGTGTGGTCTGACGTATGTTTTGTGCAACCTTAGAAAGAGCTCAGGAGTGAGTACACCTAAATGTCTATGTGTAAAGTGTATGACCGCATGTTCCCTCGCTGCATCCCCTGTGTAATGTACGCTTGTGTCCATTTTTGCCATTAGAACTAGACCTAAGTCACATTCCGACGTTGTGCAGGACAAGCTTTCGTTGCACAGGGTGTAACTTGCATTCTGCAGTCTACAGGTGCGTGAATCAAGTACTTTGCACTCTTTCAGGTTGAAATTCATGCCACTGGCTACCGCCCAGTCTTCCAGAAGGTTTAGATCCTCCTGCAGCCTATCTGAGTCCTCCGGACACTTTATCACCCTCCACATCTTTACGTCGTCAGCGTATAGAAGAGTCGGGCAGCTTGGACGGCAAGGTAGATCATTGAAAAAAATCAAAAACATCAGTTGCCCTAGGATAGAACCCTACGACACTCCTGATGACGAGCTGCACCAAGATGATCGGACTCGATTGACCTTAGTGGGAAATTGCCTTTCAGCTAGGTAGTCCTTTTACCATGACACAAGTGGCTTACCTGTACCTGCCTGACTCATTTTGTGTAGGAGAAGGTCGTGATAAACAGTGTCAAATGCCTTCTCATAGTCTAGGAAGACCACATGGACTGGAACATTCATATTCCAGCATGATGTCCAATCGTCCCAAGCTGATAGCAGGTTAGTAACGCGGGATCTGCCTTTTCTGAAACCGTGTTGGGCTCCATGAAGTATATTAGACCTATCGAGGTATTCCCTGATGTGATCATCAATAATACTTTCCAGTACTTTTGATACCACCGGGAGTAGAGCTACTGGTCTATAACTAGTGGCATTTCGCCTATCCCCACACTTGAAGATCGGAGAAGGGGTGGCCTTTTCCACTCCCTTGGCAGTTCTCCCGAATCCATTGAGTGTTGGAACAAGTCGCACAGGGGCCCACAAAGAGCTTCGCCGAACTGTTTCAGAACAGTTGGCCTGATGTCGTCGCAACGTGGGAACTTCCCAGGTGTGAGTCGCTGTGACATCCTTATTACTATTGCGGGGTTCATTTGGGGAGTAGCGACTAGGTTTTCTTCCTGTAATATAGTAGTGCCCCCATTTTAGTCCGTAACCGTAATACCCACGTTGCTGTTTAGCTGTTTCGTGAAGGCTAAACTGAATATTTCAGCCATCTCCAGACCAGAGTGATATTGACCGTTTTGGCCTACTAAGGCGCATGCCTTCCGGTTGGTGGGTTTTCTTTCCAACATGAATCTGTACAGTTTTAGGGGTTCTTTGGAGGACAGAGAAAAACTATCAGAAGTATTATTGTGATTCATTGTTGTGACATTTATTCTTAGACTTCGTGTACCATAACCTAATGGTTGGCTCTGTGTTCGTGCAAGAATAAACGGGTTTTGAGTCACCAAATTGTGTTCTGGTTTTTTTGCGTTGTTTATTACGCATAGTTCCTGAAAGTCCTCCAAGGACAGTGTGAAGTTCAGTGTAGTAAGACCCGGGCATTTCTGATAATTCTCCTGGAGTTATTCGTCTTACATCGCGTCTGCAACCTCTTTTTGGAAAACTGATATCTCGAAGTTTTCTAGATCGTTTGGTCACGATCAGTAATGCCTGGGTCAAAGAGGGTGTAACAACAGAAGACAAGGGCCAGGCAACAGATCCTTTTATTATGAAAATCAACACGTATTTATACATATTTCAGACAACATTATTATAGACAAGCACAGTCATCTGATTGGTTGTTTAGGTAGACAAACGCAGGCTTCTGATTGGTTGTTTCGGGATTCCTTGACAAACAGAGTTCTCTATCTGCGAATCATATTTTGCCACGTTAACTTCGCTGTGATTGGTTGTTGACTCAGCCTTGTTCACGGCCCATATTAGTGACCTAGACCTTAACGTAGATTAGTGCCAACCAATCGGCTAGCAGCCTGCTCTCACCACACTCGTCCCCCCGTCAAATACGTGCGACTGAAGTCGGCTTGATCTACTTGGTGCAGGCGTCATCGTTGGCTTGTCTCGCTGTATCCATTTCTGGAGCTCGCTGACGTTCACGCGCCTCTCATTGTTCGCCATTGCGACTGTGTCTGCGTAACCCCATCTCGAAGTGACCATATATGGTCCTTCCCACTTTGGAAACTGTTTGCCTGACCCTGTCGAACATTCGTCCATACTTCGGCCCACACCTTCATATGCTGCTTTCGCCCGACCTCCCAGCAGCGTCTCAAGTAGCAGCTCCATCGCTGACAGATCTTGAACGCCACTCAACTGCGCAGAAGCCTTGAAGTCCTGCCCGAAGATCCATATGTCTCCATCAAAAACTGCAGGGTATAGGCTTTTCATTTGTCGGTAGGCAGCGACACCAAATGTAACAACAGAAGACAAGGGCCAGGCAACAGATCCTTTTATTATGAAAATCAACACGTATTTATACATATTTCAGACAACATTATTATAGACAAGCACAGTCATCTGATTGGTTGTTTAGGTAGACAAACGCAGGCTTCTGATTGGTTGTTTCGGGATTCCTTGACAAACAGAGTTCTCTATCTGCGAATCATATTTTGCCACGTTAACTTCGCTGTGATTGGTTGTTGACTCAGCCTTGTTCACGGCCCATATTAGTGACCTAGACCTTAACGTAGATTAGTGCCAACCAATCGGCTAGCAGCCTGCTCTCACCACAAGGGGACAACGCAATTTGGAAACAGACAGGAAAGTAAGTAATGTTGAGTTGACCGTCACATGTAATGATGTGTGTGATGTTGAGCATGATAATGTTGATGTCCATGTTTCGTCGTCCGGGGATAATAGGAACTTTAAACTACCCAAATATGAGCCTCGGTGTTTCGACAGAAACCCAGCTGACTATCCACAGTTTGTAAGGGAGTTTGAAGTCATGTTGAGTGGGCTTGCAATAAATGATGAAATGAAGTTGATGTATTTGTTGAGGTATGGCACTGTAGCTGCTTCAAGAGCTATACAGTGCTGTAAGTTCATGCCCACAAACGGAGGATACTCTGAGGCTATGAGTATCTGCGTCAAAGATTTGGAAGACCTTTGATGATTGTAAGGAACGTATTCGAGGCTGTTAAAGGTAATGGTAGTCAATTACAAGATGACTCCAAGGCACTCACTGAGTTTTTGGATAATCTGTTGACTTACAAGAATACGTTGATTTCGATGAATTGCATGGGCAATCTGAACTCAAGTTCCGTCCTAGAGTTCACAGCAAAACGCCTACCTGCTCGACTGCAAACGAAGTGGGCAAAGATAAGCTCTCGTATAGAGGATGAAGGTATTGAACCAAAGTTCGATGATATTCTGAAACTGATAAAAGACAGCGTCAATCAAGCTATGAGCAAGTTTGTCAGTGTATTTCATCCCACCGCTAGAATAGAGCAGTCAGAGAACGAAATACAATCATCCATGACGAAAGAGTCTGAGAGAAACGGATGTTGGGAAAAATCTATGGTAATCTAAATGTGAAATCAGCGTTATCAAGGTCTGACTATGAATTGTGTGATGATAATGGTGCGGTCAAGAAGCCTGTAGTTGCAACTGGTAAGCCATTGTTCAATAGAGTCTCACAGACGACACTGCAGTTTGTGCAGGAGAAGGGAGTTACAGTTTCAGAGTCCAGTTCTGACTCCACAAGTTTTCGAGGTATTACTAGCCGGAGTGAAGGTATAAAATCTTTAAGGATTTGTGAGGAAGAACCCAAATTGTCTACTGCTGTTAATAAAGAGTTTGAAAATGGTGAAGTCGACCAGATAGACGACGGTGATGTGGATATTTTTGATAATGATCATGATAGTGCACATTTCTCTTAGATTGGTCATGATTAAATGAGAGGAATGCCTGCTACTACCACTAATGAGTTGAACAGAGGTTCTGTACAACTTGAACTTGAAGCAGAATTAAAAACATGCTGTCAATGGAGTTGAAGATTGAACGGTGAATTCATTTTTGTTTGCTCAAAATCAACTTCCCCAATTTTCGCGGAGGCATCAATACGACAGTCATCGTCTCATCGGTCGCTGTTCAGAAAGAAGTCAGTAGCAAACCATCAGAAGTAATCTTATGATTTATTATTGTAATATTTGTTAATAGACCTTGGTTCAATTACTATTTTTATATGTTGGTGTAATAATAAAGAATTCTCAAGCGGCCAATCGGTGTTTTGGTTTTTTCGTCCGTTATAACTAAGCGTTTCTGAAAACTTCAAGGAACAGCGTGGGCCCGAGCGTAGCAAGAGCTGGGCATTAACGGTTTATGAGACGTGGCTGACACATGCGGTGGCAGAAGGTATGGATAGTCGCATGACTGTCAGTGTAAATGATCAGCGTGTAGCCCACCTATCAACAGATGCGAATGCTTAACTGGAGCTAATAACAAAATACAGCAGTGACGGTAATCTTGCAGTTAGACTACCTTCTAAATGTCGAACAATAACAGCTTCTGATGCACCGCTAAGTTCATCAACTTGTGTCACTCAGCCATCTTCGGTGTTGTCACACATGATGAAAAGGACGTCCGTGAACTCACGTGTCTTATGCTATGACCATTCTAGTATAAATCCGTTTGAAAGGAGGAGTGTCAATGGCCAGAATAATGAGGACAAGCCAACTGCGTATGAGAGTGTAACTGTTAAACTCACTCGCACGAATAAAGGCATTTCTAGTTTCAAGTCACTATTTGAATGCTATTGTCTTTGGTGTAAATTACTCTGTGCCTACGCTTGGTTGACCAGATACGTCGTGTGTTTGTTCGTCATCTATATTTTACGATACAATGATATGAGCGTGTTACCGTTCAGATTTGAGGATATAGCTGATAGAGGAAAGTCAGCAAATGAACTCTTCGACGATTTTCCAACCTAGAGCGTCAACCTGAGAGGGGTTGTAGGCGTACTGGTGTAAGTCCTGCAATTCTTCAGAGGAATTCCATCGAGACACTATCCGCGAGATTATTTGTAATGTTTGTATATACGTGTCGTGTGTCATATCAATTGGTGTTTTTGGATCCATTGTGTTTAGTCGTTGTTTTCGCACCTTGTTGTTATGGCGTAATTTTGTTAAACTTTTCGTCGTGATTACTTCTGAAGTTGTTTCCAGTCTTCTACATCCGTGAATGAATTGATCGATGTTGAAGACAGCAGATGGGTCGTATACGCCATGGAGGCTGGGCTACTGCTGAGAATGACATGCACACGGAGATAAGGATTACCTGTGGTCCCACACGCCGGGAAGCGAGAGTGTAGACGACTGAGGCTCGCATACGTCACCGTTACTAGAACTGAGGCAGAATGAGTGACAAGCGATTGCAATGGTAATTGATAGTGAATAAAAAAGAGGATGTGCGTAGAGTATCGTGAGGTGCTCCTATGGTCACACTGCATTCTGCAAGAGTCATTCTAGCGAGTGGCGGTTGTGTTGCAAGATGTCAAGAGGATACCTTCATCTGGAGGCGCAGGTCGTCAGCGATGTGTGAGATTGTGCTGTGGGTATGCTTGTGGTGTGTTGGCTTTTCTGTTTGTTTTCCATTTCAGCTCTGTCCGTGTGACCCAGGTTCTCGCAATGGCATCTAAGTCAACGTGCATTGGTCGTGGTGGAAAAAAGTGATGGATCCTTTTTTGCCGGGGAGTGTCAATGGAGTTGAAGATTGAACGGTGAATTCATTTTTGTTTGCTCAAAATCAACTTCCCCAATTTTCGCGGAGGCATCAATACGACAGTCATCGTCTCATCGGTCGCTGTTCAGAAAGAAGTCAGTAGCAAACCATCAGAAGTAATCTTATGATTTATTATTGTAATATTTGTTAATAGACCTTGGTTCAATTACTATTTTTATATGTTGGTGTAATAATAAAGAATTCTCAAGCGGCCAATCGGTGTTTTGGTTTTTT